GAAAGAAGGGATAGCCTTAACATGCCTGAGCCGATTCTCTTGACAATCCCTCTAACACACGTATTTTGTGATGAAACACGTAACGGCGGATAGAAGTAGGAAAAATCCGTCACTTGGCAGACCTCACTTTCATTCATATGGCATGACAATATTTGATTGTAAGATTCAACCTAGTATACTGGATATAAAAGTGGCTTGCAATACGACCAAGCTCAGTGCAATAAAAGTTCCCACTTATCTCATCAAAACGCATCATTTTTGCTTTATCAAGAGCATGATCATCACTTATAAAATCTCTTTGCCTTAAGCTTAATCATGGATCTGCCATAGGCCAAGGATTTATCTCATCCGATGCCATAGGCCAAGGATTTATCTTCATCCTAATGCAAAGATAAGTGTAACCAAGCCAAGCACAAGTTTTTAATCCTTGGTGGTGTGGTCCCCATTTTCGGGGTTTATTCTATCCAAAATTGCCCTACACATGCCACCTAACTATCAAGACCAAAGAGTCACACTTACCTCAAGGACTTGCTACCACATTGGGAGATTTATTCTTACCCAAATATTTGAATTAATTATTCACTAATCACTTGATTAACTTGTTAATCTCCCATTAACCAATAATTAACAACTTACTCACATAATTAAGAATTATCTCAAATTATTTAAAATAATACTCATTTTTAACACACCTTATACACCTTCCTATCATTGTCATGTGGCACCTTGCATGGTACTAGTCCATAAATACTGGATATTTTAGCTCGGGCCGTATTTTATCCCAAAATGTCAAATTTCGATGAAATTTATTTTCTTTGATTTGCTTACCTTCTCACCTTCACGAATTTACTCCTCACTTGTTTGAAATAGCATAATTCTTATAATATCAAAATAATCTTGTCCTTGGACTGAAGTCAATTATCTTACGACAATATCATGTATAATACTACAGGGTGTAACATCATCGTAATATAATACTGCAAAGCGTAACATCATCGTAATGTAATACTACAAGGCATAACATCATTGTAATATAATACTACAGGGTGTAACATCATCGTAATATAATACTGCAGGATGTAACATCATCGTAATATAATATTGCGGGACATAATATCGACGTAATATTGTGGGGCATAACATTATTCCCCCCTTTGGATTATTCATCCTCGAATGTTGACTGATGCTCTTATCATTTTCATAACTTATAGCTCTTGTGAATACTTAATGCTCTCCTTGCCATTTAGGCAATTGTTCTGTGAATAAATCCCAAAAGCCAGGGCATTCCCCCCTTTAGGCCTCTTTCTCATGCCACGACTTGTGGCCGGAATCCTTCCAATCTCGTAACTGTTGCTACCTTCTTTCATGCACCCTGTACGACTCTAATCTTATAAGTATGCCTACGCGATCCTCTCTCCTTTTTTCCTCCAGGTTTTAGCCAATCTTTAGGCCTCACTTTGTGAACATATATAGAGCTTGGTAAGATGTCCCTCGGGGCATTTATAAGTATACTGAAGTTCTTTGCTCGATACTTTGTCGAATTTACAGATATTGCTATATCTTATTTCATAGACTCGATTATCCATTCATATGACTTTACTGCATCTAAGTAGGTTAGTATACCATCGCTCTAACTTTGATTTGTCGTTACTGAGATCTGCTACCAAACCGTAGGTTACTCTAGTTGCTTATCCTATATGTACAAATCCAAGTCCTTTAATGTTTCTTCTTTACCGTTCATCTTAAGAATGATTACCTAATCTCATCTCATACTTTGTAACTTTTATCCATCCATTGTTGATTCACATCAGTGTTGATCTGCAACCTACTATTGATAACTTGAAACCTATTACGTAATACATTATCACTAGGGCTTACTGCTCATCGGGGAATATCTAAAATGATTAACCTGATCCACTAGGAGCAATACCAAGCTTTCATAGCCGTATTTCATAGCATCCCAATGTGATTCACCTTACGTGGGTGTTTTAATCATATACAATTCATGAGATCCCATTTCCTTATTTTTCTTCTTCAAATCATTACTCAAGCGAAGGCCCAAACCTTATCCTTTATTTATCACAATTACACCCTCATTTTGCTACCACGATAATATTCCATCTCTTCTAAATGCTATTAATCTTAGACTCCTTTGAGTTTATTCTGGCTATACTGAGCCTTCTATAACTTAGAGAATCCATCAACTCTCTTATTTTCATGAGCTTAATCCCAAGTACTTATCCATTATTGTCACCTTTTCACTCACCTTTTCTTATCCTTACTCATGTCTTCCTAAAACCTTGTCACTCTACCATACTTTAGCTTGCGACCTACACATATCTATTTATACTTGTTCGCAACCTTCCTTCAACTTGCTTGCACCATAGATTTCCTTATGTTAGCCTGAACATCAAGTGAGACATCACATCGTCTCTAACTCTTCTTTACTCTCTTGACTAGGTCTCTCGATACTTAGAAACTATAGGCTGGAAGGTACACCATTTACGACGTTGCTATCATTCCTAGATATTGAATAGTAGTGCTTCTAGCCTTCTATCCAAAGCATGGACTATTCATGATCTTCTGCCTTTAAGTATCTTATACGTCGTTCACCTTTACCTTACTTACCTTAAAATCTCGCATCGTATCTTTTGTCTCTTTCATGATATCCCTTCCACATAGGTATAATTCACGTCTATAACTAGAAGCTCTATTATAATACTTGCACCTCTGGTGCCTATACAATCTGGTGGGAGCTCCATACTGAATTCTTATGAGGCTGGTATTATTCTAACTGGATTTATCGTAGAGCCGTTATAGAATATGGCTACTGTATTGTCTCTCTTGTATCTCTGATAGTAAGAGTGAATCTGTAATGTTCTCAATCACGATTTCTATAATTTTCTGGGTCCAATAATCAGATTCCTGATTTACTTCATTGATGTAGCTCTTTAGTTTCCTCCTCCTTTTGATCTCTCTTTATGTAGGCTTAAGCTATATTCCGATCTGCGGCTCTTGGTATTAGTTATTACTTTGGCCTTTCATGGGCGTTATGGAATATCCATGATACAAATTTCAACCCTTTGTCTATGACATGGACTCAATTCCTTCTTTTAACTTATACCGGAGTCTTCTGTGGCTGTATGATTATCAACATATATGTTGCATGGGTAATACTTTAAAACTTTAAGTGCGTTCATAACGTAACTAACTCCAGATCATTGATCGAATAATTCAATTCATTCCTCCTTAGCTTTCTTTAACGTAAGCTATTACTTTTGCTTGTCTTTTTGCCCCTTGTTGCATCCATACTTAGCTTATCTTCGTGTCCACATATGCTAGAGTTTTCGTGAAAGACATATGATCTCGAATATTACTTTAATTTTACTTCCTGTTCATTAGCCATGGTAGGTGCCACTTTCCTTTGGAGTGCTTACAATGTTGTTGTGAGACTGTTGTGATAAGACCATTTCCTCTTTAGGTCACTGAGTTGAGGTTGAAGCCTTCTTCTTTATTTTCCTTTGCTTAGTCTTTCATTGTAGTACTTAGGGAGGATCCTCTAACTCTTGTAAAGATACGAGCTTATTGCATTGTATACTCGACGGATTTTTTGATGTCCTTCCTCGCCTATAATTATCCGTAATTACTTACCTCCACGCCCTTGTGCTTGTAAGGTTGCTTCTGAACTTGATATTTGATAGTTTTCCTTGTGGCATTCTCTTTTATTTCTGTAATACTCATACGGTACCTTTAACTACCCCAACTCCTATCTGAATATTTCTCAAGGATTATGATGTCATATATGCGAGACTGAATTCCCCATGTTGGGGTTCCCTACGTTTATCTTGCATTGATCTGTTGATTTGTCTTTTATCCTCTTGTCTAGCCATAATTGAGCTCTTCCTGAATCAACTACTAACTACTCATTGGCCTATTTATATCAATATTCCGAGTAATCTTTCTTGGGTTATTCCCTTTGTCTTAACTTACCTCTCGCACCAGCTCCTTATTTACCAGAACATCCCGGGCTGGAAGCCTTACTTCCTTTCCTTGACGTCATGCTTACATTTTGGAATTGCAGCATATCCGTAGGATTTGGATAAGTGCAATCTCATCCCTTTCTCATTTTTGTCGCATTCTTCCTTTACTCTTCCATAGTTACTAGAACCACTTAATTCTGATTTAATGCCACATCACTCCATATTCCCCCCTTTAGGGAAGTACTAAGATTTAGCACTACTATGATCTACCTGTAGATGTTTTACATCTTCATATATGGCATCTTCTCACATCATCATGATTCGTCTTCTTTGTGATTCGTTGCACCGGCTGGGCATCATCAGTGGTAGCGGTGACAACCTCCTATTTGTTTGGCTCCGTGGTATTTTGTGTGTATTTCAGGTTAGGGCCGGTGGCTTTAGGCGCCGAGCGAGACAGGCATGTGTAAATAGTGAAGAACAACCCGAGTGTCAGCAAGGAATGACAGGAATTGGACGTGAATGAGCTAGGTGGCCGCAACTCCGTCGGGTATACCAAGACAATTCCTAGGTTCTACTCACGGGAGTTGGTACCTCCCGTTTTCCTATTTCCCTCTATTGTGTTAGTTAAATTGTTATCGTGTTAGTTCTTATTAGTTTATTCACCGTATTAGTGTGCATGTACTGACATCTTGTCTTCTTCTAGTTTAGTCTGGTGTGTGTGATAGTGATTCCCCTTACCCNGGTAAAGGGAACAAGGGTGTTTATCGTTTGAGAATTGGGTCATGGAACGTAGGTACATTGATAGGTAAGTCTATAGAGTTGGCGAAGATCCTCCAGAAAAGGAGGGTCAATATAGCGTGTGTCCAGGAGACAAGGTGGGTAGGGTCGAGTGCGGGGGACGCGGATTGATATAAACTTTGGTACTCAAGAACTCAGAAGGGTAAGAATGGAGTAGGTATTTTGGTTGATAGGGAATTTAGAGAGTTTGTGGTTGAGGTTAGATGAGTGAATGATAGATTGATGGTTATTAAGTTGGTGGTTGGACAGTGCACCCTAAATGTCGTTAGCGCCTATGCGCCATATGCGGGCCTAGATGAGGAGGTTAAACGTTGTTTTTGGGAGGGGCTAGACGAGATTATACATCACGTACCGCCTGTTGAGAAGTTAGTCATAGGAGGGGACTTCAATGTTCATATTGGGTCGACCACAGGTAGGTATGACGAAGTACATGGAGGATTCAGTTTTGGGGAGAGGAACGGAGGAGGAACCTTGTTACTGTACTTCGCTAAGGCTTTTGGGTTGGTAATTGCAAACTCTAGCTTTCCGAAGAGGGAGAAGCATTTGGTTAATTTTCAAAATGCGGTGGCGAAGACTCAGATTGACTATCTCCTCCGCAGGAGGCGTGGCAGAGGGTTGTGCAAGGATTGCAAGGTAATTCCAGGTGAGATACTCGTGATGCGACATAGGCTCTTGGTGATGGACGTTGGTATTATGGTAAAGAGGAGGAAGATGTCGGCTCGAGGAAGACCGAGAATCAGGTGGGGAGCCTTAACTAAGGATAAAGCCCAAGAGTTAGAGGGGTGGTTATTGGCTATGAGAGCTTGGAAGAGCACTGCTGACGCGAGCACTATGTGGTCAACGGAAACAGACTGTATAAGGGAGGTTGCGAGAGAGGTGTTAGGGGTCTCGTTGGGCGTCTCTGGTAGGCACAAAGGAGACTAGTGGTGGAATGATGTGGTACAAGGTAAAGTGGAAGCGAAGAAGGAGGCGTACCGGACGTTAGTTGGGAACATAGGTGAGGAAGAGAGGCGTGCGTGCATGGAGAGGTATAAGGTAGCTAGGAAGGAAGCGAAGCTGGCGGTCATGGAGGCTAAGACTGCGGCTTATGGTCGTATTTACGAGGAACTAGGGAAAAAAGGCGGGGAGAAGAAGTTATTTAGGCTTGCCAAGCTGAGGGAGAGGAAATCTCGAGATTTAGACCAAGTGAGATGCATCAAGGACGACGATGGTAGAGTATTGATGGAAGATTCCCAGATTAAGAGGAGATGACAGACTTACTTTCAAAAACTTCTTAATGAAGTAGGGGATCAGGATATTGTGCTAGGTAAATTGGAGCATTCCGAGAGTCATAGTGACTCTGGGTACTGCAGGCGCATCAAGGTTGTTGATACCCAATTTTTTCCTATATATTTTTCAATATGCAAGTACCTTAAAAATAGCATATGTATGCATATATAAGAATGCCCAAATGTTTTATTATTTTTTCCTTAATTTAAAGGTTTTTAAATCAATTTATTTCCTTATTTTATCCATAAAAACCAGATAATTGTTTCCAAAATTATTATTTTTGTAATTCATTTATTGGAATTTTATATTTATGTAAAAATATAGCCAATATGATTTTTGCATATTTTTACAAATTTATTTAGTATTTTTAAAGCTAAATTGCATATAATTGCAATATTAGACTCTTTTAGGATTTAATTGCGTCTAAATTTATAAAAAATTAAGTCCAGTATTTATAAATTGATAATTATATTTTATAAAATATTTTAGTACTTTTAATTTATTTCCAAAAATTAATTTGCTATTTTTTATAAAATAAATGAAAAATGGCTATTTAAAATCTAGCCAAATTTTATTTCAATTATAGCCTAAAGTTGAGCCCAAATCAAGACCCAATTCCCCAACCTAATTGCAACTCATACCCGACCCCCTAACTCAATTCACACGACACAAACCGGATCCCCACCTAACCACTTTAATCCCAGCCGTTGATAATTTAGATCAACGGCCACCGGCCGCCCTTTCCTAATTAAACCCAAATGACCCCCCAAACCTATTTCATTTCTCACATACCGCCACCCTTGAATCCCTCTTCTCTCTCAAATCTCTCTGAAACTCCTACAAACCCTAGCCGCCGCCATCAATCTACACCCTAATCCACCTTAATACCTACCTAATCCATGGCCTTCCGTGGTCATTTGAGACCTATACCAGCCTTCCATGGCTTCTATGTGTTTAGTTCTATGGTTTCACGACCAGACTTCGAAGGAGTTTGGTCCAGTCCTTGCTCCCTTTCTCCGACCATCCACAACCTTTCCCGGCCATTCATGGCCTTTTAAGGCGGGTCATTGACATTTTCTGTTTAGATCGTTAACTTTCGAGATCTTTCTCGTTTCTTTTGGGTTTTTTGAAACCCTAATCTCTAAGATCTTTTAATTTCTTTCAGATCAGCCTTAGATCTGTGCTTACCATGAACTTTTAAGCATTTGTTTCTCAAAGGTTCTTCAACGTTGTTTTCAAAACGACTCTTCATTGTTCTGATTAGGGTTTTCCTTTAAGTTATTTCAAAAACTTTTTCTCTGATTCTCGATGTTATTTTATGACTTTACTATGTTCGAACTATTTATTACGCTTTCCTAGTACTTGAGTCAGCATGTTAAAACCCTATTCTTTTGGGTCTCAATCGAGTTCTGAAGCCATTTGTTAGATGTGTGCTTGTTTGTTTAAAATTCTTTCTTGACTTATCTGTTTACCATCTTTTGAACTCGATTGTTGTTGAAAACACTAGGTCATTGGGTTTGAAATTATTTGTTTGAATACCTGATTGAAAGTTCTTGTTTCAGACTCTCTTTTCTTTATGTGACTTACCTAATTTTCACTATCTTTCAACTTGACTATGGCTAAAACCCTAACTTTTCAAAAGGTTTCCTCACCTGCTATTGTGAGACCTTTGCATGTTTTTGATACTCTGTTTTCTTCACTATTGATTCAATATGACTTGACTCACTTGATTACCATGCTTCGAATGTTTGCTTTACTACTGAACCCTAGCTTATTTCTACCACTACTGCATGCTCGTGATTATCTCTTTTACCAATGTGCTTGTCCTCGCATGTCTGATGACCCTGTTCACTTTATTTATGTACTGAAGTGCAGAAACATGCTTCTTCTTTGATTGATCCCAATCTTGTGACTGATTTCAAAACTTTCTTTTATGAACTCTAAGTTCACTCTCCTGGTAAAGTTTAATTGATTCCTTTCCTTATTTTGCCTTACTAAATATTTTTCCAAAATAAGCATATTTATGTACGTAGACTTGATTACTTACTTAATACTTTTACTACTCCTTTTATGGAAATAATCAGTTTGTCTGTAAATTGATCTTCTTTCCTTATTTTGAATCTGTCATTACCCATTAAACAGTGATTCCTTAATTAAAGGGAGTCACTTGTGTAATTGATTCTAACTATTTATTGTTTCTATATTTGTATTAAAACTATACTTAATACCTTACTTCTCACTCATTTTCAGAAGCTATAAATACCCCGCACCTTCTCTTTTTTCAAACACACGAACCACTTGAGTTCAGAACACACACTTCACTCAAAGCTCTCTCTCTTTTCTCTGTTACTACTTGTGTTGCTGCCTTGTCTAGTCAGTTGAAAGCCAAGGCTAGGCTATGAAAATTTGCTTACTTTTCTTTCTGCATTTGCCTCTTTACTGGTATGTTCTAATTAATCTTCCAGCATCAACAACAACATGTTTCTTTACTATTTCCTTCACTCTGGTCTATTTCCTGCTTGTGTTTAATCCAGTTACATTACCAAACATGCTGTAATCTGCCCCTTCCTCTTCTGAATTAATGTATTTTTCTTGTGTATGAACTCTGTCAGTCACTTATTATGACTTATGAATCCCAAACCCCCATATCCCCTATGTGTTTGTATTTTTTGGTTGGTTTGAGGGCATGTCAGCATTAGACATTGCTGTGCATGACCCAAACCTGACCCTCCCTGGTGTCATATGCTTCATATTCCCTCTATGTATTGTGTTCTCTGGCTAGTTTATGGGCATGCCAGCACCAGCTATTGTTGTGCATGTCCAAACCTGTCCCCTCTTAGGGTCATATGCTCCCTGCAATGTATTCCCAAACCCCTGACCCCTTTGTATAAAATGTTGATTCTATGTAGTGTTAGCTTTATTATTACTATTTTCAAAATACCCTTACACTTTACTATTCTCAACCCAGTGTTTGAACAAAATCTCTGCTCCTGTACTTCCACTATACTCTTAAACTTAGGTTCTGCCTCTCTTGTGTGAGCCTTGCTTTGGGACCCATGAGATCCCTCTGAACTTGGTCACATAAGGGCTGGCCCTTCCACACTGCACTCATCTCTATCTGGCTATGCGGACTTGAGTGTAAGCACTGCCTGAGGCCCCTTGAGGCCCTTAAGGAATTTTGACACACTCAAGTTCGAGAAAGGCTTTGAAACAAATGTCATTTGAGGTGGTTTATTCCATAACTCAGAGAGGAAGTCAAAAATTAGGCTTCCTCTGGTTGTAACTTCTTCTTTTACACTTTTCTGATGTGATTCATTATTCAGTTTGTAATAATTTGTAATAAATATTGGGGTTGGCTAGTGAAAAGGGCTGGGTAATTGTGCATGCGTAAGGGTAGAGAATATGCCTATAAGACCCATTTTCTGCATGTTTAACTTTGCATTTAGAGAACCTGTCTATAGGACTTGTTTAAATTCAGCATGTTTAACTTTGCATTTAGAGAACATGTCTATAGGGCTTGTTTAAATTCAACATGTCTAATTCTGCATTTAGAGAATATTCCTATAGGACCTGTTTCTGCATGTTTAACTTTGCATTTAGAGAACCTGTCTATAGGGCTTGTTTAAATTTAGCATGTCTAATTCTGCATTTAGATAATATGCCTATAGGATTCGTTTTAAATTATGCATGTTTATTACCACACTTAGACACCATGCTTAGGACTTAAACGACCATAATCAGACATCACGTTCATAAGGTTTAAAATTAGTATTTTCCATAGAAATCATGTCTATAGGAATTAAATTTGCAATAATAGATATCTCGTCTATAAAATCTGAAACCAGTCTAGTTTAAAATTAGCCTAACTCGTATTGTTCTGAATTAGTTTTAAACAGCCTTACTCCTTTATTTAACACAGTTTAGAAAGCATGTCTATAGGATCTCAAATCGCTGCTTTTCCACATCCTAAATCAATAATAGATATCATGCTTATAGGATCTCACTCAAACACTTAGGCAAGCCTTAGGTGATAACGACAATAAAAACTGCATCCGCCTTTGTTAATCAGTAACTGCTACAACCAGCAGGCATGCCTGATTCGGATTTCTTATATGAGTTATGTAATAAACTGGTCTGCCTCAACAATTTAAACTCCCATTTCCTGAGTACTTTAATTTCAGACCCTGACTATGTTTAAGTCATGCTATTTAGGTGCTTTTCTTGAGGAGGTATACACGAGCCTTTTAGTTGTTTACATGTTTCCCCCTAATGTGCAGTCCTATGTGTTCTTGTATGTTGCCTTAGATTTTTCACCTTTTGAAACCTAAAAGTCAGCCTAATATCCCTCCCATTTAGGAATAGTAGTCCTAAGTTCCTCTGGGACTGATAGGAATTGGACGGGTAATAGCATGCAATAGTGGTCAAGACCAATCCGTGCTTTAATACCTCGACGGGGTGGGAAGGGTAGATATGGATATGATGACCGGTGCGCCAATAACACGTGTATCCTCTCTTTTTAGGAGTGTCATACTGAGTATCGCATTGATGTGATCCATATTATAAATAAACCTCGGACCCCCTCCCCTTTTCCTTTCCTTTTACATTCCCAAGTATTTATAGAACTGTTACTTCTTTTCAAAATTTGCCTTTAGATAATTGTTCTTTCAAACTTTTAGGTGTTTAAACCTAAATCCCCTACTATTTGAGCCTATGATTGTCTATATGCTAATTGTACAAATTTATAAAAACTATCTGGCCGGGAACCACACTAGTGGATCCTGAGGGATGCCTAACACCTTCCCCTTAGGATAATTTCAAGCCCTTACCCTATCTCTAGTTATCCAAACAAACTTAGAAGTGAACCTTATAGGTGTCCTAATGCACCTTAAATTGTTAGATGGTGACTCTTCAAATGC